CACCTGGACACCCTCTTAACTTGCAATAGGTCAAAGAACAAGAAGCAGTAATGTAGTGCAGACACCTCTAACTGTGTGTGGTGATGTCTCTGTCTCTCAGGCTGCAGATAAGGAGCGAGCGCTGGAGGAAACCAAGAGCTACACCACGCAGTCTCTGGCCAGCGTGGCGTACCTCATCAACACGCTGGCCAACAACGTGCTGCAGATGCTGGACATCCAGGCCTCGCAGCTACGCCGCATGGAGAGCTCCATCAACCACATCTCTCAGGTCCGAATGCACCACATGCTCCGCTGCATTTACACTCACTGAAACTCACCTCGTGCACAGCCAATGAGCTGGGCTCCTTTAAGGGTTTAACATTAAAACAACATTTACCAAGGTTCTGTCCCTGGGTTTTTTAAACTGCGCTGGTTCTGCCACTTCTAAAAAAGCCCTTCATTGATTCCTCCATTCTTAACAATGTTAGACCTATTGCCAAAAAACTGTAGCAGAACCATAAAGTTGTAGAATAAATAATAGTACTGAAACGGCTCTTCTCAAAGCTTTTAATGACTTTATGTCCATCCTGGTTTTACTTGATCGCAGCGGTAATTACAGTTCAAAGTCTCAAAGATGCTACAACTACTGGATGAATGTGAAGTGTGTTGTTAAAGGAGGATGAAAGTGTAACTAAGGAGCTCTATTGGAGTGACTTTGATGGTTATTGGACTCAGGATTCATTCATTTGGATCCCGGCTGTATGAAGAAGGATATACATTTCTGCCTTTTAATGCCTTTAATACNTTTTTTACATATAATTGTAAAGCAATATATGATTGTCACTAAAAGCCTTGTCTCTACATTAAAATATAAAACATAATTGATTAATTAATTTCAATACAAATTCAAGTTCGTATTAAAGGCATTAAAAGGCAGAAATGTATATCCTTCTTCACGNCTTTGTGAATTGTTTCCACTTGTGCCGTCCTTTAATTTCTTCATACAGCGGGAATCCAAATGAATTAATCCTGAGTCCAATAACCATCAAAGTCACTCCTGGAGTGACTTTGATGGTTATTGGACTCAGGATTAATTCATTTGGATTCCCGCTGTATGAAGAAATTAAAGGACGGCACAAGTGGAAACAATTCACAAAGGGATTAAACTGTTTAAAACACATGCTCAAAGTAAGCCGGATTTTGCCGATGTGTTTATGTGGATTCAAAAGTCATAAATAATCTACAAAATGGAGGAGACCAATCTGATCGGAGCAAGTGTGACAAATAATCCAACTGAAACCGGCATGGACAATGACTATGTTTTAAAAATGCGCTTATCCAGAAAAGCCCGGTTTGGACACTTTACGGGCAGAAGAAACATTTCTATTAAAGAAATAATTATACATTTCTGTCTTTTCATGCCTATAATAGCTACTAACTTGAATTTGTATTCAAATTAATTAATCAATTATTTTTCATATTTTATTGTAATGTAGAGACAAGGCTTTTAGTGACAATCATGTATTGCGTTACAATTATATGTAAAAAACTAAAATCGAAATATGATATTTGGCCTCAAATCATCTGAGGCCTGGCGCCCCCCCTGCGATCTTTGGCGCCCCATTGGGGGGGCGCGCCCCCCAGGTTGGGAACCACTGCTAGAGTTACACTATAAAGATCTAAATGCAGTCTACAATATGTACCAATTGTTCAGGGTAGATGGAAGGGAAACACATTGTGGTTAGTCGGATGTGCGCATATCTCCATTGATACAATTTTCTATCAAACAACAATCAGTAAAAATGTATACAACCAGACCGACTTAGTCTGATTTAGTGACAGTTCTAAAAGCCTATTTCTTTTAATTCTAATGTGACCTTTTTAGTATGTCTTTTATTTATTTTTCCTGATTTAACCCAAGCTGAACTGTCTGCTCTAGGTGTTTGGGAACGCTCCACCCAGCAGCATGACGGAGAAGTTCACCGACCTGCTGCAGTTCACCACCCAGGTCTCACGGCTCATGGTGACCGAGATCAGACGAAGAGCTTCTAATAAATCCACAGGTGAGCCCTCCGACACGTCCATTCGTCACAATAAAGATGGAAGAGGAAGTAGCAATTTATAATTCCTTTGGCATCAGTTGTGGTCATTTCCCATATCCAGTTGGCTACTTCTGACAACAATTGTTTATGTGTGCCCTTTCCCTGTCCGTGGGTGTGTTTGCAGTCCCTTTGGCTTTGCTGATGCAGACATAGATGTTGGAAACAGTTTTTAGTATTATGATCATGAGACAAGCATTCTTCATCCATTAACAACAGTGTTGTCTTAGAAACCACACTTACTTTGTCTTGAAAGGTTAGTCTTCTACAGGTGAGCATATCCTCGAAGCTTTGGCAGCTCCTACTGTGGCTTCCCCACAGGAAAGACCGTAAATAGACAGTACACACACACACACACACACACACACACACACACACACACACACACACACACACACACACACACACACACACAAACACACACACAGCTGAAAGTCTCCAGCTTCCCATCTCTTATTTTTCTCTCCATTTTTCTCTCTCATCTCTCTTTGAACATGTGCTGTGTTGTTTTCAAGCAGAGAGCCGCTCTGATTCTGTAACAGCACGGTCTTAACTCCAGATGGTCACAAGGTCTGTGTTTGAGTCAGCATTGACTCATTCTCTCCACTTACTTCGCAGTGCTCTGCCATCATCAAAACAAGGGATTTTGGTTTGCTCAAAATCATATAAAAAAAAAACAGCCAGACTTTAGCTCATCTTGTAGATGTAACAGTTGTGACTCTTCATCCATCAATGATGACGCAAAGCGACGATGATGTCCTATTTCTTAATTTGCTTCTCATTGTAGAGTAAACTAAGGTGTGTTCTAGGCAATTATGAATGAATGAATGACAGTTATTTTGTACACAGCGTTGGTGTTGTAATCAAGAATATTTGTTTTCTATCTTGTGGGGATGGATCTTATCGAATACCAGCGTTTGGGCTTGTGCAATTAATTGAAAATGTATTCAAAATGCAATGTGGATAAGTGCAGTGTCCAAATTGAAGTAGGTGCAATAGTTGGCAACATTTGAAACAATCATTATGATTGAAATATTTTCTTGCTACAGAGAAGTCCCGGCCTACAAAAGGTATTCTACAGACATAATAAAAAATCCTTTAATTTAAATTTAATATTAAATATCACAAGTGCAATATGTATCCCAAAACTCGCAATTAGTATCAAAATCATGCACATTTGACCATCTTACACATAGTGTTGCGGTTAAATAACCCACCGTTCTAAATCAATGCTTATATTGTGTTCGGACATTCAGACAGGATATCATTTGGAAAATCAAGCATCACATCCAAAGAAATGCTTCCCCCGTGCAGTAGGCAGAAATGGGTGGTAGAAAAGACACTTGTTGATAATAATTATATATGCCCTTTTTGTGAGGCCATCTAGACATTCAATAAAACGTTGTTCACAAATAACAGACACTTGTCACATCCACAAAGACGATTGAATCGTTGCATAACTGATCATTGTTCCGTCGGCCATCTGCCTGCCACAATAAGCTGTCACTTCTGTCTACTTAACGGCTGGGTTTATGTGTGCGGCTTCTCCAGAGGCAGCCAGTCGAGCCATAGTCCAGTTCCTGGAGGTGAACCAGAGTGAGGAGGCGAGTCGTGGCTGGATGCTTCTGACCACCATCAACCTGCTGGCCTCCTCCGGACAGGTTGGTCAAATCACACCAAATAATCATTCACATCACCATCACATGATCTGTCCAAATCAAGTGTTCCACGTTTTTACGATATGTATGCTTGTTTGATTGATGGCACATTTTTCTGTTTGCGTGGTTGATTATTATGTGTTCTTTTTTTTAAGATTCACCTGATACATGTAAGTTTAGATGTTCAGCCCCTTTTCCTCCGGTTTAAAAAACACACTTACACACACATATCTTTGGCTTCAGTCTTAAGTGACAAATGTTACAATGAGCATTCATTCCCAGGACATTTTTGTAGCACCTTTTCCGCATTGAGGTGAATATATCATATACAATCAACAGGGATTTAGAAATGTTTTATTATAATTGTTTACGTACAAAACGTACAAATGATTTGCTGTCCTCAAAGAGGCCATTGACAGAATCAGTCATTTTTACTTTGCTGATCATCGTAAAACATAATTAATTCAAACAACCCGGAGAAAAAAGAATCTCATCAAAACGTTCTTTGTGAGTCTTTCCTCTGTTTCAAAGAGAGACTGAAATAGTAACAGATATATAAAAAAACATCTCTACTGTTCACTAACCCTGCTTTTCGGCGCCTTTGTGACATCAAATGCGACACACAGGGAAAACAACCGAAAGGCATACTCAGGTTCTGGCATTGTGAAAGGAGTCTGATGCATATCTTTAAAGGGCTTTCCTGCTATTTAACCACAGCATTTACATGTTAACTTTGGTGGAAAAAGGGAATTAGGTGTCAGGACACACACAAAAAATGGGTCTCTGTGACCCATTTGCTTCTCCAACGCTTTGGTCTTCCAGCAGAAAAAAGCCTCAGCCCCAGTAAGAACAGGGAGATAATGGTTCTTCAATACAAATACAAATATACCCCAAACAGTCTTTTTTTTTATTCTGCTTTACTGCAATGAGTGAAGGAAATGAATGCTGCCTTTGTATGCCACGTTTGGAGATGAAAACAACATTTTGCTCTGTATGTCCCAATACATAATTCAGAATGAGAACACGGAAGCTTCTCAGGCTCCTGGTTTAAAGGTTAGATATAAAGGTCTTGTTTTTCTGTGCTCTATGGTCAGCAGACGTCTTTTAAACTTTTCGGGCTGCATTCCTCTGGAGGTTTTGTGAGGAGCAGTGCTGTCAGCTGGCTGGCTGCTTTCCTGCTTATGCTGCACCGTTGCACTCCAGACATTCTCTCTAGTTGTTGATGATAACGCTTCTGCAGACATGTTTTCAACCCAATTAAATCCACTAGTTATTTCCTATTTCTGCACACAAACTATCCATTGTAGAAGTATTCGACTCAATCAATGCTATGTACACTTCACCTTTAAAGGTCTCCTGTTATACTCTTTTCAACAATATATTATCTCTATCTTAAGTCTCAGACATATAGAAAGACATGTCTCTGAAGTGTTTGGCTCAAAATACCAAACAGATTGTGCATTGTAGCATCTCATAAACCCCTCTGTTTCAGCCCTGTTTCAAAAGTGCTGATTCTGTGCCTGTAGCTTGAAATGCTAATGAGCTGCTGCTGCTGGCCACGCCCCTGTGTGGATGTGTTTGGTTAAAAAAACACAATGGTGCTCTAGGAGGAGATTCAGGTGATGAGGTGGGCGGGTGATACCTTGATGGGTTATTGGCTAATGGTTGCCCAACCCACAAAACTGTTGTGACATCACAACGTGGCCAAAGTCTGATCAGCTCCTTTCGGACAGGTTTTTAATTAGATTAATCAGGTGAAAAAATAACAAATATTTGTATCTTTGCCAATCTTTTAACACACTGGGGACACATGTATGTAGAAAAGACACGAAAAAAGGCATTTGGCATAATAGGAGACCTTTTAAGAGTACATTTGTAGATACAAAATAACTTGGTATCTTGAGAGAATGGTGAGCTGTAGAACCGTTTGAGTGATACTAGTTTGTTTTGTTTCTGCTGCATTTGTTTTATTAACTGTGTTCTCTGCAGTATTAATGCAGTTAAGTTGAAGGATACATTCCTCAAGGGTGGACATAAAGTACCACTGCTTACTGTTTTTGCCCCAATTAAAAAAAAAATACAACTGTGCAGAAAGCAAACCCCTTTGCTGTCAGGGAATAAAACCAAGGTTTCTTTGTACACTTTTTATTTAGCTTTAACTCACACTAAGGCCTTCCAGGTGCCCCACAGCAAACAATTCAGGGTTTAAACCACTTACATGTCACTGAAATTGAGTTTATTTGCAGATGGAGCCCAGTTCAGCCTTATAGTACAGTCAGCAAGATATTTTTATTCTTGTAGGACCAGAGAAGTGTTTACTGGGACTCTTGAGTGCCTATGTTTAAGCAGCCTTGATGGTACTTTAAAAGGAGGCACCTGTCAAAACAAACATTTTATACACATAAATACAGAGCTACTAATTCCTTTTCAAAGCCACATACTTATGTGCTTGAACCGGGGAGTCTCAGATGGTTACATTCTCTTTTGTGCCATCTAGGCTGCTGCTGCCATATATCACAGTCGATATGAGATTAGGTTAGGGTTCAGTTGTAGCTGCCTTACAATCGTAGATGGACAACTTGCTGTGTGCAAAGCTTTTTTTCAGCAAGAGATGGCAAAGATAACATTTATAAAACAGCAAATATTAACAGGAATTTAGCTAGCATTTGTACACTTCAAGTTTCCTCGTCTGAAGTCTATTACTTTTTTTGTGGCTTTTTAGTTTGTTTGCTGCCTCAATGAATGTTGGTGGTAAACCCCAGAGTAAGAGATATTATTGTTATGTTCACCAAGATCTGTAAATACTGGTGTAGTTAGTCCACTTGTGTTTTTTTTTAACAACTTCTATGTGTCTTAAAGTTGTTTTTCTAACAATTGGCTAGATGAGATGAAGAGGTTTCCCCGCAGCACTTAACCATACATGCAAATGTCTGCAGCTGATATGTACCCCAGTTCAGCGTTCAGATTACCATCTTATAGTCCTTTATGGTTTGCAATAAATAAAAGAACATTTTTTTTAAGGCCGACCACAGCCAAAATGTGCCAGCTTTTTTACCAGTCGTGTTTCTGGAAAACTCCCAACCAGCTTCTATGTTGTGATGTCATTATAATGCTGCACTACTGTTTAATATCACTACACACAAAGTGACATGTGTGTTTTGAGTGATTTGTATCCCTTTCCTCTTGTGTCTCAGACAGTAAAACAAAGAACTCTCCTCGCAGCTGGCGTCCCATAAACCTGACGTCACCCCCCCTCTCTTTAATGCTGTCCTCGTCTATCTCTTACTTCCTGCCACCACCCACCCCCTTGATGATAAAACAGCAATATTTCCGTTTGTTGCTGACTGCCTCTCTCTACCTCTGCACTGTCTTCTTGTTTTATCGGATGCCCTTCACGCTCGGCATTCCCACTGTGCTTGTCTCTCTCTTTGAAACAGACAAAAATGTGCTTCTTGACATGCTTCCTCTTTTTTTTCCTCCTTGTATCCGTCGATTTTTCGTTTATCTCAGTCTTTCCTCTTCCCTTTTCTTTCTGTTTTACACACACAATAAAATATCTTCAAGTTTACCTCTCTGATTGACTGCTCCCAGTAACCTTGACCTTAAAGCTGCAGCAGGGCCAATATGTCTCTTACAGCCTGTAGACACACACACACACACACACACACACACACACACACACACACACACACACACACACACACACACACACACACACACACACACACACACACACACCTTCCTTGCTGAGTGTACCACAGGTGCGCCTTCCAATATTCTGACTCACTATTAACTGAAGACTCTTCTCCTCTGAACAACAGCTTCTTCTGTCAACGTCTTGCTCCTTCTTTCTCTCCCTCCCCCACTCCATCGATCAGCTGAGGTGTGTGTGTGTGTGTGTGTGTGTGTGTGTGTGTGTGTGTGTGTGTGTGTGTGTGTGTGTGTGTGTGTGTGTGTGTGTGTGTGTGTGTGTGTGTGTGTGTGTGTGTGTGTGTCCGCTGTGCTCTGTTATCCATCCCGAGTCCGCCTTCTCTCTGTGGAGGCAGACAGAGCGGAACTAAAAGGGAGGGTCATGTCAACCAGCCACAGTGTGTGTGTGGGGGGGGCAGGGGTTGTGAGAGCGCTTGTTTGTGAGTGGGTAGGAGGCAGCGTTTGATTATCTGAATCATTTGCATCAGTGAGCACAAACCCAATCTCTTTCTCAAGCCATTTTTCCCTGCCATGAACACACACACACACACACAGCTCTCATGGCTACTTTTTTGTTTTTTTCCCTCACAGAAACACATCCATGAATCATAACACAAAATTAAAATAGCTTACCCGTGTTCACAACAATCAAACACCTCGCCATCTTTTTGAGTAGTTCTTGTGCAGTAAAAAAAAAACGTTGGATTTGAAACGTAAGGCTGTATTGTTTTTTATATATCTTTGCTACATTTTATTATTTATTTCGTTTTTTATTATGTATATTTAAATGATCTATTTATATTTTTGTTTGTTTTTGAAGAAATACAAATGATGTAACATGTTGAACATAGGTTAATCAAACCCTCACTGACTCAGTTTTTGAAAACTCAACCCAAAGTACTCTTATGTCTTACTGACGTCTTCTCCAAAATTAATTTCTTATTCATAATTCTCAACCGTTTGTTTTGTCTTCCTTCGCCCTTTCTTCTCTCCTCCCCAACAGAAAACAGTGGACTGCATGACCACCATGTCCGTACCCTCCACTCTGGTCAAATGCCTCTACCTGTTCTTCGACCTGCCTCACATGGTGGAGGCCCAAGTAGCACCACCACCACCCCCACCACCACCACCACCCCCAGGCCAGGAGAAGACCCCCGGCCAGGGCCACACCCAGCAGGAGCTTCCCCTGGCTGACCGCAGGGTGCTGCTACAGAAAGTCTTTGTCCAGGTAAGAAAAACAGCTTACTCTATAAATGGTTTATTCCAAACCAGAACTAGCTAAATATCAATTTCTACTCTTCCTCTCCTACCACGCTACCAATACACTATTTATAAGGCTACTATTTATATGTGGTTTCACAGGTTAAAAAGTCCTAAATTCAATGGTCCAAATTCCTCGCCTAAAAAAAGGTATTTAAGGTTTTTAAATGTTTTCTCTAATATAGTTTTAACTGCAAAATAAGAAAGTGGTCATTGGAATTTCCTTACAGGAGTTTTCCTCCCGGTACAGAATTCAAACAAAATGTTTACCAACCCTTATATTAGTCTATCCCTTATGTATTCATTGCTGTTATAAATGGTGATACATTAATGTTGTATTGGTTACATTTCACAAAATTCATGTAATTCTTGTTTTCATTCATGCTAATTTTCATTCATACTTCTGTCATTATGGCTGTAAAAAAACTACTTTCATTCTATGTAGTTTTTAAAACTTCTTAAACAGACTCAAATGTAAGTTGTTGAAACCCATAAAACGCCTGTACATGAGTAATTTGATCGATTTACAAATGTGATGAAAAAAAAGATGGTTCTTTTAATCTGCTAGTTTGGAAAGACCAAAATGAAACAAATTACTGTCGAGAATTATAGAAGGGCCTTAAATCTGATACCTTCACCTCGAGTCAAATTTCGTGCCCTCTCTTTCCGACTCTTGCAGATCCTGGTGAAGCTGTGCACCTTTGTGTCTCCGGCGGAGGAACTGGCCCAAAAGGACGACCTTCAGCTGCTGTTCAGTGCCATAACCTCCTGGTGCCCCCCCCACAACCTGCCCTGGAGGAGGAGTGCAGGGGAGGTGCTCACCACTATCTCCCGACACGGCCTGAGCGTCAACGTGGTCAAATACATACATGGTAAATACAAACGTTAAGCACGCGTTGGACATCCGTACGTATGTAGGGGATTGGTTATACAGGCTGGGAGAAATCAACATGTATCACACATTATGCTGTTGTTTTACATAAAACACTGAAGTGAGAGCTGTCTTATTGATATTTGAAGGCTCCACTGTGTTTATTTGCATTGCATTTCATATTGAGGTCATCTAAAAGTCACAAAGTCATCAGGTTACATTTCGTAGATACTTACTGTAGATCAGGTTGCCTATTACATTTACGGTTAATTATTAATTGTAACAAAATACTTTATTAAAGCAACCCTCCAACCCCTGGTCATCTCCATATATTCTGTCACACGTCAAATTCCCCCTTGTGCTCTGCGTCCACAGAGAAGGAATGCCTGGGCACATGTGTGCAGAACATGCAGCAGTCGGAGGATCTGTCGCCGCTGGAGATTGTGGAGATGTTCGCCATGCTCTCCTGCTTCCTCAAGGACTCCAGCGACGTGTCCCAGACCCTGCTCGACGACTTCAGGATGTGCCAGGGTTACGCCTTCCTCTGCGATCTCATGCTCAGGTACAACTTCAGCCAATCTGGGAGTGGGACCCCTAAAAAAAACACACCTGATTGCTATCCTCGCTCCAAAATGGTGGAACGAGCTCCCCCTTGATATCAGGAATGCTGAAAGTCTACACATTGTCATTGCAACTTAAAATCAGCTGGTGTCTAGAGAAATGATCGTCAAATAATTCAAAGAAACACAATATTTGTATCCTCTTAAGATCCTTTTTATACTTGAAAGTTTGGTTTTCTCCTGCAGAGGGTTACATCAAAGAAAAACACTTACATCCAGGCCAGGTGCAATTTGTTTATCGTCCCTCTCTCTTTCTGCGATTAGAAAACACATCATCCTATTCACCAAAACATTAGTTTTTTCAAAGAATACTTCACTCTGAGTGTAACATTAAAGCATCTGTCATCTCAAAAGTTCTCAAAAACTCTTAGATATTTTTTTTTGTTAAAAGTTACATTTCGTTTCATTTTGATTACACTTTAAGAAAGCGCTAATACCAGAATTTCCATTACCACATCCTCCATCCCAGTCAAATTAATCCCAGAATGAAAAACCCACCTGTTTCCACTGCATGCTGGCTATTAAACCCAACACAAGAAAAGTTGTATTACTTAAAAGATGTATTGAAATGAAATGCACCATCACTTAAAACGGTTTGGCTTATTTGAAGCAAATACACTTGCAGGTTTATTGCTGCTAAAGGACATTTAATAAGGTACATATTAAGAGCATCCTTGAGTGTGTTGTACGCACATTTATATAAAACTATATGTCTCTTATCCAGACTGGAACAGGCCAAAGAGGACGAGTCGAAAGATGCCCTGAAGGATCACGTGAACCTGGTGACCCGTCTGACCACGTACGGGGTGACGGAGCTGAAGCCCGCCGGCCTGACAACAGGAGCCCCCTTCCTGCTGCCGGGCTTCGTCCTCCCGCAGCCTTCTGGGAAAGGTACATGCAAGCGTGACTAATGACATATTTAATGAATCTGCTGCTTTTGTTATTTCTTCGTAACTTGCAAAACCCATAGAGTTAAAACAACATTTTGTAACACACAATGATTTTAGTCAGTGTTGGAAAAGTACTCAGGTCCTTTTCTTGAGTATAAGTTAAATTACTGTGGTCTTAAAATACCCCATTACGAGTTAAAATCCTGAGTTGTAAATGTTTCCCAAGTAGAAATACAGAGCTATTATCAGTCAAATGTACTCTGAGTATCAAAAGTAAAACAAATCACTATTCAGAATGGCTCTTTTGATATAGAATTTTATGATTCAGTTTTTAACAGTAGCAAATACATTTTAATGTCAACGTTGTAGTTCATCAATATGGAGCCAATTTTAGAGACTTTAAAAAAATACTGTGGTTATTAAAAATGACAGTATTTCATCAGATCCTGGGTTTTTATATGTATAAAATAGCTAGTAACTATTTGTGTTTAATAACTAGTATATGTTACATTAAATGGTAATACTCAAGTAAAGTATGTAAAAATTGTGAAAAGAGGTAAAAAAAAAAATACTTAAAATAATGCATTTTGTTACATTCCGCCAGTGATTTGAGTAAAACTGAATTTTATTTTATTTGGAAAAAATGTTTTTCCTCAAGTCCTCCAGCTGCTCTACCTCGACTCTCCGTGATTTTTGTTTGAAACTATATCCACATATCTATAGCTTTTGTATTGAAATTTTAGGAATTCAAAAAGCGAAAAACACACCAAACACTCATTGCAAACATTTGAGCTGCTTCTCTCTTCTAAAGTGATGATCTATTATCACCCTCCAAAGAAGGATTTCAGGGAGTTAACATGTTCTCTCCCTTCCTCGTCCAGGATGCAACCCGGTGGCTTTCTGATCACAGGGCTCGCCTCTTAAACCCTCACAATAACTCTGTTTGCTCAAAGCCCAGAAACAAGAAGAATTACTTTTTGTGAAAAGCCCCCCTGTATACCCCAGCCACCATATCTCCCCCTTCAGATCTTAATCCCTAAATGACTTTGATGCTTGGCTGATTTGAGTAAGCCTAACCTGTTGACGGACACCATGGCAACCATTCCGCCTGTCACTCTGCTGGAGATGAATGCCTAAAGCTTCCTGCATACAAATGGCCTCTCTGGAGTCCAGAGATGCTAAGGTGGTTTAGAAAATCAACCCGAGCCAAATGTTTGCTGCCCCAGAACCTGTCTCCCTTGACCTTCAGTCTCTTTTGTTGAACTTTTTTTTTGTACAGTATGTTAAAAATTTAATAAAACAGCTTACAATTCTTTACAAATCACTAAATTACACACACAGAGCTACATGTGGGTAATGAGACCAACTATAGATGAGAGTAACAAATGCGTCACTTCCGGGCAAAAATAACGGCTCCGCCCACTTTTGGGGGAAAACAATGCTGTCAGTTGAACGGCGGTCAATACAAATTCTGAAGTTTTTGCCAATCCGATCAGAAATGTAAGAAAACCGGAGATTTTTGGATCTTCAAAGAGCCCGATTCCAATGGCCAGACAGGCAAACAATTGCATTAAGCCATTAGAAATCAACGATCGGGCCTCGATATATGGTTAAATATAGCAGTAGGCTATTTATTTTCATAGATGAGAGTAATATCTGTCACTTTACGGCCCCGCCCACTTTTGGGGGAAACAACGGCTGTCATTAGTGATGGGAATTCCGGCTCTTCTTGGTGAGCCGGATCATTTGGCTCGGCTCACCNGTCACTTTACGGCCCCGCCCACTTTTGGGGGAAACAACGGCTGTCATTTGAATGGCGATCGAGCCTGAAGCCACAGAGATCTTCTGTTACTGTCCTTTCTTCTTAGAGGAAGTACAGAAACACGTAACTCTGGATTTGTTTGAATGTTTTAGGTGCAATGAATAAACGACACAGCAGCTTTTTGGAATGATAAAGCTATTATGTTCTGCCTCACTCATGAGAGAAACAGCTGGAGAAATTACAGCCTCGCCTACTGATTTTAATTTAACCATATATCAAGACCGATTGTCGATTACCAATGATCGAATGTAATTGTTTGCCTGACTGGCCATCGTAATCGAGCTCTTTGAAGATCCAAAAATCCACGGTTTTCAAAAAAAATTGATCGGATGGGCAAAAACTTCAGAATTTGTATTGACCGCCATTCAGATGACAGCGTTGTTTTCCCCCAAAAGTGGGCGGGGCCGTAATTTTTGCCCGGAAGTGACGTAGGTGTTACTCTCATCTATAGCATGCTAAATGTTCAACTGCGAACAGAACTAATGGGGTGTCTATATAAAATAAAAGCTACATAAAAGCGAAGTTAGAACACTAGTCTGCTTTCTCTCTCAGAGATGATTTCACACTTCTCTTTGAAACAGGAGGGCAGTGTGCTTTTTAGTCGCTCATGTTGGCCACAAGGTGATTAGTAATACTGTATGCACAACTCCTAACACATTACAGACAGCAACTTTATGCACTACTATTTCTTCAAAGTTCCAAGGAAATGTTAGAAAGAACAACATTTTCCTTCTTTTTTTTTGGCTGCCTGCTCCACCAGCTGTGCTTTTATATATTGAATATGTACAAATATTCAGTTTTTAAAGACGTTACTCCCACTCCGTTTACAAAATCTTGGCTTCTAGTTCATTTGGAAAAATGTGTTAAACAATTTCTATTTGGGTTGATAGTCATATAATTATTTGGAGCTATTCATACTACAGGGATCCATTTAAAATGTATTTGTGTATTAAAAGTACTTATGCTGCTTTGTGAGAGAATATTTGTAAAATGGTTATAATTCAAATTAACTATAAAAATAAAACTCAGATTAATAATGAAAATAATCGCCCTAATGCGGTTGTTGTTATTTTGTTCTCATGTTAATTAATTTACTTTGACTTAATTTTACCTGGAAGTGTTTTCATAATATACTATAATATGGTAGCTAAGATAAAGTAAAAGATAAAACCCAAATGAATACTATATTTTCTCCCCTGGACTGACATTTTTTCATTAATTATCTCTTCCAATGTAATATGTTACAACCCTTCATTTTTCATTTGTGTGCTTATGTTACATTGTGAGCTGTTGTTAATCTTTCAGACTTTATTTTAGGAGAGTAGCCCACAAAATAAAATGTGACAGATTCTAACAGTAGGATCTTTGCAGTGTTTGAACTCGTCCTGTCCCCTCTGCCCCACCTCTGATCAAACACCGTTGCCAGCTCCCTGTTGAAAATACACAAAAACGATCTGCTTTATAACCCCTGCCGCCTGTTTTATCACACACACATAAACACACTTGTGTGTTGTTTACCCATGTAATGACAGCTCCAGCTGTGTGCAAAGTCATTACCAGAAGCCATCATGGTGTTAGGGGCCGCTTACACGCTTAATTAGATCGCCACATTCACTTATTGGCCCTGTGTGTGTTTAGGTGTGTGGGGTGAAACACTTCAGTGGCACTTTTATGTGTTCCTACATGTGTGAGTCATTGCTCTGGGTTTTTGTCAGTTACTCCAAAATGGAAGTCAGATTATGTGTGTAGCGTAGCTGATGCATATCATCCGTCTTTCATGCTTTTGCACTTTGTCATCTCTTTGTCTTTCCATTATCCTTTTAGTACATCCATCCACCTTAAACATTTTAAACGGGCACTATTGTGCTCATTTCAGGTTCATATTTGTATTTTCTGTGACATGTTTCCATGTCATGTTCAAAAAGGTCTTGGTAAGCTGGCTGGCTCTGTTGTGGTTGGTCATCTGCTTGGAGATGTCCCGCCCCTTAGCCTATCATGTACAATGTGCTGGTACTCTAGCCAATAGAAGCGCAAATGTTCCATACTGATGTCATTATGTACGAGGCGTTTCAGGCAGTGGTTTGGAGAGAACTTTGGGATTTTAGCCTTTGCGCACCATTCACATGCACACAATCCTATATAACACAGTACAGGAAAAGGAAACCCAAAAAAGCATAATGGGGCCCCTTTATGCGATACTGTACCTCATAGTTTAACACATGGGACTTTTTTTCTTTCATTTCTCAAAAAATTGACAATTCAAACGATGCTTTTCAATAGGAAATACGGTAGGTTTAACAAAAATAGGGATAATTGTTGAAGAAACGGTACTTTAAATTAAACCAGTCTCATGGAATGATACCCTCAGATGTCAAAAAGCAGTCTGAAATACAAATGTCAGAATGACGTCAACATTTTTTATGAAAAAAAGATCTATCTTTGCTTTTGGAAACATATTAAGAGCTTAAAGAAAAAAGCTTATTTATGTATACTGTATTTGTATCATTTGGCATTTAATCTTTCCATACAAAAATACCTTATAAAACCATTAATGAAACACATCAGTCATCCAAGACCATGATTTATTCTGCTTTTGCACTGAAAAGGAGTCAGGCTAGAGTGCCTTTATTGGCAAGTCAATTAGAGATTTGCTTTTTGTGCATCCAACTATTTGTTAAAAGGATAACAGTAATAATACAATTCATCCCAAAACCCATTATAGTTTGACAGCTGTGCTTTAATTTCTCCTGGCACACTGATGCTGCCCATTACTGCAAATGACAGCAATTATTGTTTGTTTTTCAGATTAGTTTGTTCGTGTTCATTTTTGGTCTCTTTTTGTACCTTGGTATAAGTTGACACTAAAACGATTCGCTGCATACATTCAGTGTTCCATCACTGGATCTGCTTTTTGTTTGACTTATGGTTATGTCCACTTGTTATGCAATTAATTAAATGTGTCATACAAGTAAACTTTAATTTCAGCTCAGATTTTACGACATTTAACCCAAAACTTATTTTTTCTCGTTGCAGTTAAATGAACTTCAGTTTAACTGTACCATGTTTCCGGATTCCTGAATGTTCTTAATATATTCCTGCGAGCCAAAAATATTGTATTTCTAAATTAATTGAATAAATGTTTACAAATGTTTGTATTTGCAGCTCACATAGTTGGTACCTTAACTGGGACTAATACAAATATAATGAATCATACTTTGTCCTTCATATTTGTTTTGTCACAACTGCAAACACTAACTTTTCTCCTTTTTCTTTTCTCTTCCAGGCCACACAGTGCGTAACATCCAGGCTTTTTCGGTTCTTCAGAATGCCTTCCTGAAGGCTAAAACGAGCCGCCTAGCCTGTATGCTGCTGGACGCCATCGGGAACATCTACTCAGGTGAGTCGGCCAACTACTTCATCCTGGAGTCGCAGCACACCCTGTCGCAGTTTGCAGACCGTGTGGCCAAGCTCCCGGAGGCCCAGGCCAAGTACTTTGAGCTGCTGGAGTTCGTGGTGTTCAGCCTGAACTACGTGCCGTGCAAAGAGCTGTTCAGCGTCAGCGTGCTGCTGAAGTCCAGCACATCACACGCCTGCAGCATCACGGCAGTGAGAACGCTGCTGAAGCTGTCCCGGCACGACCCCGTGTTCAGCGACGTGCTGCGGGAGGTCGGCCTGCTGGAGGTGCTGGTCAACCTGCTGCACAAGTACGCTGCCTTGCTCAAAGACCCGGCCACGCAGCAGCCACACAACAATGATCAAGGTGAGGGGTTTTTCCTTTCTTCTGCTATTGTGATAAATTACAATTTAGCAAAGTGGACCGTAACAGGGCTGCAGCATTTATTACTCTTCCTTCATTTTATTTTATCTTCAATTGGGCTATAGGGCAGTGGAGTAATGACGTATTTTTCCAACCCAGAAGTTAGCATCACAAGGGTTTCCCTACAAAAGCCAATGGGATACCCCATTTTATGTTTTGTAAGGCGTAAATGCAATCACCAAGCTAACGTGAGGCTATAAATGAACTGCATCACAGGGACATGACTTCCTGTCCCCACTGTTTTCGTTGTGAAGACATTTGGTAGTTATATTTAGCCTCTTGTTAGCAGTCACCACTTTAATAACAGATGGAAGCAGATAGAATATTCCTCTGTGGGGTATTAACTGACATATTTTAGGTTGTAAAGAAAAATTGAAAATGTCTTCAGGTTGTGTTAACCACAGCAATTTTTTAGGCCGCCAAACAAAAAGACTAAAAAAAAACAAGAATGTTGATATGGAGACGAAGGAACCAGAAGTGGTAAAATGCTTGCTCATTTCCATTTTAAGGGACTCATTCCTGCCCCACTCTTTGAACTAATTAGATCATGACAAAAGACCAGATACAAATTGGGATAATAGAGATTAAAATCCAAGATTTAAATAAAAAAAAGATGAACTAGATGCTTTACGTGAAATGCTTTGAACTTAATCAATATCAGATTAAAAACCCTTTATGTCTTAAATAAACAATTTCTTCAAATACACTTCTCACATTATTTTTCTTTATTCCATTATTGCTGTAGGGTAAAACACATTTAATTCTATTTTTCAATCTACGTGTGCATTTGATGCTGTGATAATGTGGTCTCATGCTACCCTCCCCTCTCTATGCAGCTGACTGTAAGAACAACGCGGTGGCAGAGGAGCAGAAGCAGCTGGCCTGGCTGGTGATGGAGACACTGACTGTGCTCCTGCAGGGCTCCAACACCACCAACACCAATGCAGGTACACACACACACACACACACACACACACACACACACACACACACACACACACACACACACACACACAGGCACCTGCTCAATATGCCATACACGGTGGTGTCAAAAAGGTATTTAATTGGGTTTTAAATCCAGGCAGAAGATATGTTTTAATTATGTGATGCTAGTAATGATACTCATTAGAGATAACTAAGGTGTTAGAAGACACATCAAGCCTTTATGACTCAAATGTATTTTTTAACTGTATTGGATGGAAACTGACCTCACTTAGATAAGTCACAGTAACAGTACACATATAAATGCAACACAGACAATAACAATATTTTAATTTGATATTCTTTGCCTTTGGTCGTTTTCTTTTTTTTGTTTTAACCGTAAGCGTAAAAAAGCGTAAATGATTCAAAAAAATTAAGGAAAATAAATAATCCAACGTTGCAGGCCTATTATGATTTTGGGGGTTTTCGCATTCCTGTACTGTGTTTTATCGTTTTTTGTGCATGTAAATGGTCTGCAAAAGCTAAAAGTTCCCTCCAGAGGGAGTTTCTCTCCCACAGCCCAAACCCCAACTAAAAACCTTCAATTGGTGTCCTTTGTTTAGTTACAGAGCAGACCGGGCTCTGGTTTCAGACAGAGCGTGAAAAGAGGTGCTGCAGCACAGGCAGTATGAGAAAAATAAAGAGCTTTTGGAACATTACAGCATGTAAACATGTCACAGTAGAGTTACAAAATACAAATATGAACCTGATTATGAGCATAAAAGGGCCACTTTCAGCTTCGGAACTACAGTAGATTACAAGGCATTTGGACCAAACGCATACAGAATGACCTCTCTTTTAAATCTACATAGCACGCAAGTTACAAGTTACGCAAGTTACAGATGCCTTTCGAAAAAATTGACTTTAATTTGCGTTTAATTAACCTCGATATCTTATGAAGGAAAATTATTGAATTCAGGCCAAAGAAAGCCACTAACTTACATCTGCATGTGTCCCCCTGGCTGAAGTGTCCTTGAACAAGAAACCTCCCCCACCTCTTCACGGAGCCTTTACCTCTGACCTCTCTGTTGAGATGGAGAGGAAGGATCATTTTCCTCCAGGGATCAATAAAGCACTGTATTACATTTCCCTAAACCTCGCTCTCATCCCACATCGTTCAGTGTGTGTGTGTGTGTGTGTGTGTGTGTGTGTGTGTGTGTGTGTGTGTGTGTGTGTGTGTGTGTGTGTGTGTGGGGTAGAAATGCGATGAGTCACAAAGATAACACACCGACAGCTCAGAGCTACGTTCGACCTTGATGACTGGTTGCTTTCGTCAGAAGAACCGGATGATGCCTGTGATGTTCTGGAGCCCTGCGTGACACACTGTTTAAATTAAATGTTATGCACAAGGCAGTCGCATCTAGAGAGGCCATTAGTGCAAAAGAAGTGGAAAGAAGTCAAGTGCGTCAAACTAAGTCAGTGTAAGAGCCACGTCAATGAACAGATTTAAATAAATACATATTTCAATTCAACAACATCATGAGCAACCAATTTGTTCATTATTACAACATTGTCAATTTCCTCTACCACATCCTCATGGTGAGTCATAATGACAAAGTTCTCCTTTTTAAATGACAAAAAAAACTCCCATGAAAAGCAGAGATCAGATGACTATCTCACCAATCTTCAGCAAAACTACAAGGGGACAAATTATGCAAATGTTCAGGTTCATATTTGTAATGAATGCCTTGACTGTGACATTTTTACACGTTTCATGTTAAAAAAAAAAAGCTCTTGATTTTTCTCATACTGCCTGTGCTGCAGCACCTCTTTTCACCCTCTGTCTGAAACCAGAGCCCAGTCTGCTCTGATTGGTTAGCTGCCAGCTCGATTGTGATTGGTCAACGCTTAGAGATTTCCTGCCCCTATGCCTATCATGTACAATGTGTTGGAGCGCTAGCTTTTTTGAAAACAAAAGAAACAAATGTAGTAAAAAGTCATCCAAATAAATCATAATACTGTTTATTTTTTAAAAAGGCTGCCTGTGTATTTTACACTTAATTGAAAGCTTTATTGGTCTGTAGATTTAAATCAATAATAGGAGTGTATTTATGTGTACTATGGTTGTAATACGGGTGTTAAAACAGAGTAATAACAGCTTAATTATCGGGCTATATGGGTGTAACATGGTTAAATTGGGTTGTAATCATGGTTTCACATGGGTGTAATTAATACCCGAGTAATATGGGCATAATAGTGGTGTATTCATGTGTAATATGAATGTAATAACAGTATAATAATGGTTTATTGTAAAAAATAGGAATCAATACATTTTCCCAAATATGTATATGTGATTCCCCCTTTAAGGTCTCATACTGATTTAAAGCTCAAACTCAACCTTGTGTGTAGCCTATCTTTTAAACAATATATTACTGGACATAGATTTCTTTCTCAGTATATTTATTATAATCTGACCTGGTGTGATTGTGTCCACTTAGAAACATAACGATGTGCAAAGACTTCATTTCTTCTCTGTCTTCCAGCTCTGTTCAGGGAGTTTGGCGGCGCTCGTTGCGTTCACAACATCGTGAAGTACCGGCAGTGTCGGGAACACGCTCTGCTCATCATCCAGCAGCTCGTCCTGTCGCCCAGCGGAGACGACGACATGGGGACACTGCTCGGCCTCATGCACTCTGCCCCGTCCAGCGAACTGCAGCTCAAGACCGACATACTGCGGGTAAAGACGCCTCTGTCTTCGACACTTTTTACTTCATTATTGCATTTAAACATGTTGTGTTACTGACAGTTTTAGTTATGTTTCAATCAGGGCAATATGGGGAAAATATCCAAATATATCCAAATAAGCATAGTATTATGTAAAGGTAAGTATATAAAAACAGGATTCTACAGAAAAAACAAATCCTTGTTTCGTACTGCTCTCTAAAGAAATGACAGCATGATCATTTTCTCTAGTATCCCAAATCATATTATACTTGCAATATATTATTATTTCCAAATCGTGCAGCCCTATTTTTAATGTGTCTCTGTCCCACAGTATTCTCCTACTTTTTTTCTTTTTTATGAAAATATAAAAGTACTTTGATTTTTATGACATGATAATGTTTTCCTGTTTTTTTATATATATTTTTTACTACAAATACTTCAGTCATAGTGACTACATTGAGAAAAGGGAAACGTCTGTAATTTCCAAGATCAATATGCATTTGGAGCCCTGCGTACAGTAATTGCTTCAATCCAATCTCAGTGTATGGTGCATGTAAGGATGGCGGCTCATTTTCTGGATCATAATTGCATTTTCAAATTCCACTCCCTCAGATGAGGAGATCTCACGCCTTCTTAAGGCTTCGGCCGGATTAACCTGTCAGCATTTTGCTCCCATTTTAATTATCACCCTTTAAATAAAGACGGCCAAGAATTTATTTAAAATCCAGTTTGGATTTACAGTAGAATCATTTGTCCTCGCTTGTCATCATGGTGTATGTTCTTCAGTAACACTGCAGACTTGGATCCCCAAATTAAGCTTATTAACCTTGTAAAAGTGTACATTTAACACTATAATCTCTAAGAAGGGTTATGTTACACCCTCATGTGTTGCTTCTAATCCTTAAAGCCTCTACATGGCTGGTTAAATTAAAACCCAAAATCCGGAATTTTTACCGACAGAAAGGAGAAGAGGATGTGTTCAACATCCTGTGATTGGTTTAAAAAATAAAACAATGTGCTGATCCTGGCAGTATTTTGATGCAGCAGGAAACAGCTGGATCGGCAATGCATCACATGACTGTTTTACTTCTCTTTTATTTTTTCTTTCTCAACTGGAATGTGTCATTTTATCTGAAACTTTACTAATAATTTAGTATGGACAATTTCATGGTATAAATAGGTATACATTCACATATCGACAAGAGATGGCCAATTGTATGGATAGATAGTTCATTTCCTGGAGTGTGTTGTATAGGTTTTTGTGGACTCCTTTGTTTACTTCCAGTGACATAGTGATCTCACTATGTAACGCTCCCCCTTCTATTGGCTCCAAACATTGTACGTGATATGGGACATTTCTGATCTCTAAGCGGTTGACCAATCACCACAGAGCCAGCCAGCTAACCATTCAGAGCAGACTGGTCTCTGGTCTCAGATAGAGGGTGAAAAGAGGTGATGCAGCACAGGTAGAATACGAGAGATAAAGCAGTTTTTTAACATTAAAGCATGGAGACATCTAACAGTAGAGACACAAAATACAATGATGGACCTGAGAATGAGCATAATAGGGTCACTGTAAATATATTGAACATCCTCAGCCCCAATAGAGAGCTAATGAGATAATGCAGCATGACTTCCAAAATGTTTAAAAGTATCACTCACAGAAGCGCTAACACTCCTGTGGTGTTTATTAATCCATCCAGAGGGCCTGTTTAAAATCTGGCTCTCTGTAACTATTCCTATACCCAGCTAATGAGGCAGTAACATCACCAAAGTTACCCTAGTGAGAACATTTTGGAATGTATCACCATTTTGTCATATTCTTAACTGAAGATTTACATCCCACACAATCTGTCTGTCACCGTCATTCTATTCTCTCAGGCTGTTTTGAGATACCCAAACTCAAATCTAGGTTACAGAGTGATGTTTCAGTTGAGGTTACTTGTTAATGCGAACCATAAAACTTTGAAAAAATGTAGAAATAAAACCCAATTGAGTGCAGTGAGACAAAGAAACCCCCAAAGGGTCTCGTTGCAGAAGTTGATGAACAGAGATATGACTGAACGAGGCGACAAACCGAGATTACATGAAAAGCATAGGAGTGAACAATTGGGTAACACATTTAGAATAAGGTACATTCCCTGTCAGTCACTTCTGTGTTTTCTGTATAAACACATAACTGTGAGGCTAAAGAATTTGAGCTAATGAGATTTTGGATGAATAACTAACCTTGTGTTATCTTCTTCAGGCTTTGTTGGCGGTGTTGCGGGAGAGCCACCGCACCCGGACGGTGTTCCGGAAGGTGGGTGGTTTCGTGTATGTCACCTCTCTGCTGGTGGCGATGGAGCGCTCCTTGTGCCAGCCGCCGCGGCACGGCTGGGAGCGTGTAAACCAGAACCAGGTCTTCGAGCTGCTGCACACCGTGATCAGCACGCTAACCGCCGCCATGCGCTACGAGCCCGCAAACTCACACTTCTTCCGCACGGAGATCCAGTACGAGAAGCTGGCCGATGCTGTGAGGTAAGACTCTCCGCCCAGAACTAGAAACACTGATCATATTTGTTCCTGACCCTGAAATGCTTGTGTGTTATCAAGCAGTTCTATTATCTAAGGTGGAATTTTACAGCGACTAAGCCATATACTGTCATTAATATATTTTTCCGAAATATTTTATAAACAATAACAAATGCACAGAAAAATACTTTTGCTCATGACATTTTCGAAACACTTTTACTTTTTAGATTTGTATTTAAACATTCTTTTATAACCCAGTTTAGCCTTTTTCTAGAGATATATTTGAAAGGGAAGGGGAATAACACTTTGAACCAGAACTGTACAAATAATTTGAGTTGCTTGACTTTGAAAGGGCAATTCATTTATGATGACAAAGAAAATTACACAACTTGTGGCGGCTCTATTCCTATTGAATACGGCCGCTCTGAGGCTAAACTTCGCTCATTGCTGTGACGCGTATAAATAAAAAAGTCTGTACTGTTCTTGACGTTTTAAGGATATTTAATATTGTAACTCAAAACAATAAACAAACAGAATCATACGGTCTACAAAATATATCAGAGCTAAGCTCACCCCCATTGTCATGCTACCCAAACCTCCACATCCAGCAGGTGACCATTAACCACACCCATGTGACAATCACCGGAAACAACCCATTACAAGTGTCTGTGATGTTAACAAATAATGAAGATAATACAACTATAAACAAAGGCTACCACTGCATTTTGGCCCCTACACAACAAAAAGCCTACAAAAATACATCATCACTGCACCACCCTATTCAGTAGTTTTACTAGAATGCCTTCTTATAGTGTTTAGTGAATTTAAGTAGTGTTTAACGTTTTTTTGTCTCTTTGCCACCAGGCTGCTGGGCTGCTTCTCGGACACTAAGAAGCTGGGTCCCACAGCCGTGTTCCCCTCCAATGCTCAGCCTTTCCAGAGGCTGCTGGAGGACGAGGCGGCGCCCGGAGGCTGCGCGGGGGACAGCGTCTGTCCCACGCTCAAACACTGCAGCAAGCTCTTCATCTACCTGTACAAAATGGCCACCGACTCCTTCGACAGGTCAGAGGGTCAACAGATTCTAATTGTGGCTTATGTTTGTGTAGCACACAGTGACATTCTGTTCTGCAAATAGTACATCACACTATGTTTCTAATGTAGTGTGTAATATCCAGCAGATATCATGTGTGTTCAACAAGCCTGTCAGGGATATATATAGCACTATAAATCAGGGTAAAGGGTGAAAAGCCTGTAGTCAGGCCATTGAGCTATTAAATAAATAAGGATGAAGCATAGGTATCAACACAAGTTATAGACTAAACGACAACGGTTAAATAAGCTAAATGTTTTATTTTTCACTACGTAAGTGGTCGGTTACTTCATTATATAAAAGAAAAGGTCTTCGTATGGAGTTCAGCAGGTTGCAGCCACATGTTCCTCCATTTCTGATGAAGAACATCACATCTTTCAACAATCCTGCTAACATGTTGAAGTTTATTTTTCTCTTGAAGGCTCTTTGTGTTCCTCTTTTAAATCCTAAAAGAACTCTCAATGAACATTTTGTAAATGTAAAACTTCAGAGTCTACTATAATGAGTCTAAGGGGACCGCCAACCTAACCTAACCTAAACAGACAGACCAAATCAAGAGAGAAATGCTATATTCTGTTTTCCAGATCTGCATCAGTTTTCGGGTGACAAATCTTTCGCGCAGGTGAAAATATATTTCTAATTCAGTTATAGCTCAAGATTATTTGTGAAACAAGGTCAGTTTACTGCATCTCAAATCACCATTACTCTAAGCTACAGGGAATATTAACACCAACATTTATTTAAAATATAGTACCAAACAGGAACATCTAACAAAGATGTGAATCTTGCTCTGAGGTTCAGCTTCCAGGTTCATTTAGTATCTTTAGACCAGTCTAGTGAAAGTACCGCAGCAAGTCCACAGCTGTGTTTATCTCAGTGTGGTCACGCTACACAGCTCGCACTCAGTCTTCATCTGACACTCACAGACTCAAATGGTCTGCAAAGGCTCAAATCCCCCCAAAAACACCACGATTGTTGAAAAAAAGAACTATGTATTAGTTTACCCTTAATCAGAATCATCCTTGACAATCTTCTTCTCACATTTCTGCTTGTGTGCACCACTTGGAGGTAACAATGAAAGCAATTTCTGTTGCATTTGCGGAAAGTATATAAATAACAGTTTTAAAGGTAACTTTTTTTTCAACTAAGACCTTATTCTCCCATTTTGTTGTGTCTAACTCAATTGTATTTAAATCGGTACAGTATTGAGCCAGAACAATACTGGACCAAGTTCTTACATTCCCCATTGGTCACAACACCATAGGAAAATTGGGTCCAGGTTGAAAAGTACAGAAGTTACACTTTAAAGTCCTCAGTCATAGAACATTCCAGTGATGATGCATTTTTGTAATATTGCAGAAAATAAGATCTGTAAAAAACAAATGTTTATGATTATTACATGTTTTGTTCAGCACGATAATCTCCACATAAAAAAACCACTATCATTTTTGAAGCTTGAATGCTATCGCCAGAGGTAAAAAGCTGACGTTAGGCTATAAATAAACTCCATCATGGTTGCATTAATGCACAGTTGACTAGAAGACGAGGCAACGGAAAGCGCTAAAATGCTAACTCATTCCCGGGTTTAAGGACTCATTCCTGTATCGCTCTATTTTACTCTAGCAATAGTTGACTGTTTATTATAAGATTTTAAACCTAAAATAGATAAAGTCGACGTTGGTTGCCGACAAAATGCTGCAGACCCACTTGTTAGTTACCGCCGTTTATAAGCAACACAGATGCTTTGGAACATCTTTAAACACCACAGATTCAAATTAAGGCGAAATATCAAAAAATCGATGACTTCGAGAAAAGGGACCTGGAAGTGTTAATATGCTAACACATTCCTGGGTTTGAGGACTCATTCCTGCATCACTCTGTTGTGTCTGCACTACGCTCCCAGTGCGTGTGTAGCTCTAGCTGGCGTCACGCATGAGCTCCAGCTCTGATCCTGTTTCTCCTTCCAGCTTTCCACTAACAGCTTCTTTCCTTCTTTCCTTTTCTCTCCGTCTCTTTTTCTTCTCATCCTCGGCCTGGCCCATCTGCGCGGCTGTGTGTGTGTGTGTGTGTGTCTGTGTGTGTGTGTGTGTGCGCGCCATGCAGTCGTGCGGAGCAGGTGCCTCCCTGCCTGACTCACGAGACCTCGCTGCCCTCGCCGTGGGGCACACCAGCACTCGCCAGGAAGAGGTAGCTACAGCGCTCTGCCACTTTCCTCACACTCCTCCCTTCCTTGTTCATCTTCCTCACCTTCATTTAAGCACTTAAAGCAACCATTGTGGCCATAATGATCATAAACTGTCCTAACTTTACATTACATTACATTACATTGCATTTAGCTGACGCTTTTATCCAAAGCGACTTACAATAAGTGCGTTCGACCAACAAAGTACAAACTTGAAGAAAACAGAATCATAAGT